CTCAGCTGGGAAGAGCGCAATGATAATACCAACATGGGCCAGTGAAGTGACGTCCTCCACAACTAGACTGAAGAACAAAAGGACAGCAACTTGTCTGTCCCTCTTCCCCAATTCCCCAATGCTGTTTCCCTCCCCCAATTCCCCAATAAAATCTTTAAAAAAAACAATATTGTTATGTATTGAGCCCCCACCCCTGCTAGTATTTTTTTGTATTGTATCATTTAGCCCTCTGCCTTCAACCTTGTGCTTTTATTTATTTTAAGTACATTTCTTATATGAGGTCAGACAACTAAGTTCGTGAACTTGTTGCAACGATGTTGCTAACCTTTTTTGATATCAGAGGAATTATTCATTATGAATTTGTACCAACTGGACAAACAGTTAACCTGTTTACTATTTGGAAGTGCTGAAAAGGCTGTGTGAAAAAGTTAGATGACCTGAACTTTTCTCCAACAATTCATGGATCTTGCATCACAACAATGTACCAGCTCACATAGCACTGTCTGTGAGGGAGTTTTTAGCCAGTAAACAAATAACTGTATTGGAACACCCTCCCTACTCACCTGATCTGACCCCCAATGACTTCTTTCTTTACCCGAAGATAAAGGAAATATTGAAAGGAAGACATTTTGATGACTTTCAGGACGTCAAGGGTAATATGATGACAGCTCTGATGGCCATTTCAGAAAAAGAGTTCCAAAATTGCCTTGAAGGGTGGACTAGGCGCTGGCGTCGGTGCATAGCTTCCTAAGGGAGGACTTCAAAGGTGACCATAGTGATAGCAATGAGGTATGTAGCACTTTTTTTAGGATGAGTTTGCAACTTAATTGTCAGACCTTGTAAGTAGTATGTAGCTGGATCTCCAAAAATTTCAGTCAGAAAAATCTATTTCATAGATGAGTTCAACATTTACTGGGATTATTGATGTGTTTTATGTATTTCTACCACTCAAAACAGTGATAGAGCAAAACTCAATCAAGTAGAAGCCAACAAAGAAGAAATGAACTTTACATGATATTGTAACAGCTATATATAATATCAGAAATGTAGTAGACTTGAGGGGGTTATCACTTTGTGAGAGGTGTAAATGTCTAATCATTGTGTTGTTTTGTATACCTGAAACATATAACAATAAATTAAATTAAAAAAAGAAGAAATGAGAATATAGTAAAAGTAAAACTGAGGTTCAAAGTAATCTCTCGATATCAACATTAAAGACATAGTTTCATTTTAAGTTGCTGATGAGCAGTCTTTTTTCTGTTCTCATCCCTTTATAAGTAAGCTGTCTTTTCACTCTTTTCTGTTGAGATTTTATTTTTATCCTTAATATTCTAAAGCTTTATTATTACTTGATTAAGAATGGGCTGTTTTTGTTTTGCTATGGTTATTTTTTGTTACGTTCTTAGAGTCTAAGGACTGGTCTTTTCTATATGTTATTCATTTAATTACTGATTATTTAATTACTGCCCTTCTTCTATACTCTATATGAAACCCGTAATAGACGTATGTGTTGGAACTTTTGGATCTAACTTTCATAATATCCCTTTTCTTTCATTCATCCCGTCTCTTTGTGCATCATTCTAGTGGAGTCCTCAGGTTGTATTTCTGATGTGCTAATTTGGTCTGAAACTGTTCAGTCACTTTTCAGCTCTCCCTTTTAACTTAATTTGGGTTTTTTTGTTGTTTGTTTATTAACTTCAGCAATCACATTCTTCTTTCCTAAAGACTTTGCCACACAGAGGTAATATGACATCAGCTCCTATATACCATTGTGGAATCCTGTCTGACTTTTTAATACTACTTTGTTTCTGGTATATGGAAGGTGTTCTTTTTTGTTTTTAAGAGCAGCATTCTATTTTTTAGTATTTTAATAACATTTCTATATAATAACATAATTTAGGGTGGTGGATAACAGCATGGACTCCTGGAGACAGAAAGCCAAGTTCTGCCTCTTAGCAAGTTATTCATACTCCCAGTGTCCTATTCTTAGTTGTGATCGTAATAATAATACTTACAGATTTTTGTGAGGATTAAAAGAGGTCAGAATGCCCGGCACATAACAAGTACTCAGTAAATATTAGCTGCTGTTAGTGGTGGTGGTGGTACTACATTAGGTACCATTATGCAATTGGATGGATGGATGGTAGAGGTTTTGTCATGTGTTTGTAATCTACCATGCTATCCCAGCCATCCCCTATATAACTGTTTTAATTGAAAATTGAATCCAACAGACTTAATGTATGGTTCCTCTTTATTTTTTAACAGATCGATCCTGAATTAGAAAAAAAACTGAAAATGAATACAGTGTCATTGGAATCAGAGTATGAGGTATAGTATATAAATACAGTCTCTCGTTTGTAACAATCTTCCTAGTCAGTGACTGGTTCTGTCTGCCTTCAGGTAAACTTAAATTATTAACAGTGCAGAAAAAAAAATTTACCTTAAACAAATGATGTTGGGAGAACTATATAGACATTTGAAATCAATATGAAGAAGTTCAGGAACTCAACAAGTCGGTCAGTAGGAACATGGGGAAAGCACGTAAAGAGTTCAGAGGAAGGGAAATATCTTTCTTAAACATATGAAGAGATGCTCAACTTGTAATAAGACTGTTACTTAAAATTGTAATGAGCCGTCATTTCCTACCCATCTGATTAGCAAAAATCAGAGTTTAATAAATAGCACATTGTATTATAGAATGTGATGAGGGAGGATATTCTGTATCTCAGTTCATTTTTTGGCTGTGGATTATGATTTTCTGTTTGTATATTTGGCCATTTTTTATTGAAAGGTGGATATTGTGAATAATACATTGAAGAGATTTGAACTTTTAGTAGACTGTTCAATTATTTGCTGATCATTTTGAACTTGGTTTTGTACTTTATAACAGAGGAACGTGGAAAAGCTTTGGTGTTTCCTAAACCCCTCTTTGTGCGTCTCATTTTCCAAATTGTCTCTCCAAAGGATCTTGTCAGAGCTTGGTTTTAAGCTTTGTTGGCTGAGTCTGAAGTAGGTCTTATTCTTGGCCTAATCCTTACTCTTAAGAGCAGCCTTTTTGGTGTCCCAGCTAGATGTCAAGGTAGCAACTAAGTGTTACATTCACTCGGATAGGGCTAAAAATCCAGCATTGACACTGCTTTTCCTCAGCACTTCCTGACTGTTCCACACTCAATTCTAGAGCAGCTGGCCATTAACTAGTAAGCCTTAGGTGGTCTTGCCCATACATGGAAAGCCTGGTCTTCAGCAACTCTGCATGGTGTGCAGAATTCTACAGGGAATCTTCCCTTCACCAAAGATCTCTGAAGATTGGACCACTTTTACATGAAGTTGTTCTGCCAACTTTGCATCCTGTCTAAGAATTATTCTTAAATTCTCTTAGGCTTCTTCTCTTTTTTTGTGCTCTCAAAAACAAAGCATGTAGACTCTTTTTAAAAAAATATTTTTATTCTGATGGGGGGAAAGATTGGCATTAACATCGATAGCAAGCAAGAAAAATTCCAAATCCTAAAAAATATGTCATATCTTCAATTATTATGCTGGATATGCAGTTGATTTATTTGCTAAAATTATATTGAGGGCCTATTGGATTCGTTCCACCCACTTATTCATTCATTCATTCAGTGGTGTCCTAATCAAAACCACAGGACTCCTACACTAATATATATACTTCAATTTTTGTGGCTTTATAGAAAATAAAAGACTCTGCTTTTGATGATTGGAAGAATATTCGAGGACCCAGGCCTTGGGAGGATCCTCAGCTCCTCCAAGGACGAAATCCAGAATTGCTGAAGACAAAGACAACTTGACTATTCTGATTTCTTTTTTTAATAAAATGTTATCAACTGGAATTCCCACTATATACTCCTATCCAGTGGAATGAAAATTCCAGACCTGCAGAAGCTTTGATGTGAGTAATTTGATGAAAGATAATCTTGATAAAAAGTCAAATACAGGTGTTCATACTTCCTAACTCTCCCATGTGCAAATGAAAGTAACAATGTAGTAACAATATTTTATACCATTCAATAAAAATGTGAACACTGCTACTTAAAAAGTATCATTTATTCTACTCCCAACTACCCACCCATATTCCTTTTCCACCAGCCATTGGGGCAACGTTTTGATACTTCAATCTGATTCTTAATGAGAATAGTAATTCTCATAGTAACATCAAACAGTGATTTCATGGCAAGCCTATATAGAAAACTAGTATTGATCACAGTCTGATAAGAATCTTGGTTTTATTTATAATGCCTCACATGGTATGCTAATCAGTCTCCAGAGCATCATCTAATGATTGTATTGATACCATTAAAACATGTTAAGAAAATTATATTGTTTCTGGTTATAGCAAAAGTCACGAAGTAGTACATATTAGACTCACATATGACAAATTTGTTCAGGTAATCCACAGATGACTGATTTAAAGTATGCTTTATGCCTTAGCATAATTTACACGTAGATTGACTATAGTGTTTGCTATGATCTAAACACTAGGCAAAAGGTTAGAATTGAAAAAAGGTAGTTTTTTTGTCCTCATTTTTTTCTTTTCAGCCTTGTTCCCCTACCTTCTGTTATTTTCACTCTGAGATCCAGATGTCTAAAGTCTCAATTGAAACACTCCTATAATTGCCAAAAAATTATAAATCCACCCACCTCATACCCAATCAAAATCCCTATTTTCAGTGGGTTAGTGTTAGCAAAAAGGAAAGCAAACTAATTATCTAGTGATGATAATTTGTGATAGAGATGATTTATAAGACTTAGTTATCTGAGGGAGCAATTGGATTTCACAGGCAGAAAAGAAAAGAAAGAACCTCCACCTAAGCTTCCCTCCTTGTACAAAAACTAACTCCAAATGGATCAGATTTAAATGTAAACATAAAACTGTAGAACTTTTAGGAAAAAAACAAACAAACAAAAGTCTCTAGGATCTAGTATATAGTTCTTGATGAATAGTTCTTCCCAAAATATTCATAAAAGAAAAACTTGATAAGTAGGACACTTCATCAAAATTAAAAACTTTTGCTCTCCAAAGACCCTGTTAGAAGGATGAAAAGACAATCTCCTGACTGAGAGAAAATACTGTAAACCACAACTGACAAAAACCTTATATCTAGACTATATAAAGAACTCTGAAAACTCAACAGTAAAAAAGCAAACAATCCAATTAGAAGATGGGCAAAAGACATACAGAGAGATTTCACTGGATGGCAAATAAACTCATGAAAAGAATGTTGGACATCACTAGCCATTAGGGAAATACAAATTTAGACACACTGAGAAATCACTACACACCTGTTAGAACAGCTAAAATTAAAAAATTGCGACAATACTAAATTCTGGCAAGGATGTGGAGAGACTAGATCTCTCGCACGATACTGGTATAATGTCAAATGGTGCAACCAGTCTGGAAAATTGTTTCGCAGTTTCTTAAAAATCAGCATAGGAGACTTCTGGTTTTCAGTCCAACATGCAGGAATGTTAGAAGTCATAACTCCCATCCTAACACAAAGAAAAGCTGAAGAATAAAATCCGTGACTATTCTTTGATCCATGAGAGAACTGAGGTCACAAGACAAAACCACTATCCTGAGCACTTGAGGCAGATACCGAAAATCACAGTTTACCTGGAGGAAAAACCATCACAGGAGCCAGCATCAGGCAGGAATATTAAAGGGTAATGGACTAATTACTAGAGACTGTGCGTGGACTAACTTGAGAGTTAAAAACTGGAGACCAGGCTGGGAGCACACTTTTGTGAGTTTTATTTCCTGGAGCTCCACCAGGTTCTCACAGAGTATCAGAAAAATTTCCTTGTGTTTCCAGTAGGGGGATGGGAAAGTAACCTTTTAGAAATATGCCTCCCAAATTCTGTTCTTAACAAAAGCCTGGCCTTGAAGGAAGAACTATTTTGCCAGAGTCAAATCACGTTGGGTTTTACCAGAGCCTAACCAAATGGGGTAAGGGGAATACCCAGCTCCAGCTCCCTGTAGCCTTCCTGTCTCACCTGAATGGAGGTGGTGGAGAGAAGCAGCTGTGAAGGTCACATCCCAGGGGCCCATGATCACTGACGGAGACCGAATCATTAGACTATAGAATGTCGTCCCCTCCCCCACCCTCCCACATTACTGCCACATCGCTGAAGTCCTCTTCACTGGAGTTTCTTTTACCCAGTCTACCTGGGTATATGTACAACTTCCAACAATAACACCAAAAAACTACAAAGCATACTAAAAAACAGAAAGCACTGTTTGAAAAAGCAAAGCAAGCATCAGAATCAGATTCATATATGGCAGAGACATTGGATTGTCAAACAGAATTTATAATAAAGGAATTTAAAACAATTTAAAATTCTCAATAGGCTTAGAGCTCTGATGGAAAAAGTACACAACACGCAAGACCAGGTGGATAATGTAAGCAGAGAGATGGACGTTTCAAGAATCAAGAGGAAGTTCTAGAAATAAAAAACACAGAATGTCTTTGTTGGGGTCAGCAATAGAGGAGACATGACAAGAAAGGAAGGGAAGGGAGGGTGAAAGGAAGGAAGAAAAAGGGGAGGGGGGAGTAGCTATTTCATGTCAGGCAAAGCAGACTTCAGAGCAAGGGAGACTCAGGGATAAAGAGGGATAAAGGAGTGATCAAGGCGTCAATTCTCCAAGCAGACAGAACAGTGTTTAGTGTGTTTGCGCCGAATGACAGCAGCAAAATACATGAAGCAATGAAAACAAAAGTTGTTTTTTAAAAACGATCGACAAAATTGACAAGCTTTAGCTAGATTTACCGAGATAAAAAAAGAAGACTCATATTACTAAAATCAGGAATGAAAGAAGGACCTTACCAGAATTCTTACAGAAATAAAGAACTATAAGGGAATTCTATGAATGATTATATGCCAATAAATTAGATAATTTAGATTAAATAAATTCCTGGAAAGACACAAACTATCAAAACTGACTCAAGGAATATAAATCTACTATGACAAGTAGAGAAGAATTAGGATTTTAAAAATAACTAAAAGAAAAGCCCAGACACAGATGCTTCATTGGTGAATTCTACCAAATATTCAAAAGAAAAATTAATACCAAATTTTCACAAAATTCTCCAAAAAATAGAAGAGGACAGAACACTTCCCAGCTCATTCTATGAGGCTAGTATTATCCTAGTACAAAAACCAGGTAAAGACATCATGAGAAAGTTACAGACTGATATCTCTTATAAATGTAGATATAAAAATCCTCAACAAAATACTTGCAAACCAAGTGCAGTAACATATAGAAAGGGTTATGCATCATGATCAAGTGAGATTTACTTCAGGATTGGAAGATTGATTTAACATTCAAAAGTTATGTAATACATAATATCAACAGAGTTAAGAAAAAAAGCCATGATCATATCAAGATGCAGAAAAACATTTGAAAAAATTCAACACCTCTTCATGATAATAACAATAAACTAAGAATAGAAACATCTTCAACCTGATTAAAGGCATCTACACACAAAAAAACTCTCACAGCTAACATACTTAATACACAAAGAATGAGTGTTCTCTAAGATCAGAAAGAAGACAAGAATATCTGCTCTCACCACGTTTATTCAACATTGAATTGGAGGTCTTAGGATGATTAGGAGAGTCAGAAGGAAATAAGAAGCATCCAGATTGGAAATGAATAAGTAAAACTATGTCTGTAGTTGACATATCCTGTATATAGAGCATTCCATGAATCCACTAAAAGTATTATAGCTAATAAATGAGTTCAGCACTTATTGGTGTACTAGACACCGTTAGGGGTGGCATTAGGATTTGGTAAGACTGTCAACCTCAAGGGCAGAGATTGTTTCTTTCAATTCTCCTTCGCTCTCCTCTCTCCACCACAACACCAAAGACAATGCTTTCTGAACTGATTTGGTGTGGCAAGTCTTTCCTGGTCTTTCCCTGTAAGAAGTGAATATACATAAGACTGATATCTTTTGCCTTTGGGAATCCACAGGAGCATTTCAGTTTACGATGCAATTGATTGGTAATGTTCAGTCATTGTCTTTGAGTTCCCCACCCTAAAGAAAACTCAGCTTTCTGACACAAAATATTAGCAATCAATGTAAACTTTACTGAAGATTTCATAGAGAAGAGAAGGTTTACACTGCTCACCATACAATGAGCACCTCAAGAAATCCCCTTACTAAATTTCTCTTTCCCACAAAGTCCATCACGGGCACCCCATAGTCTTCTCACTTGGTCATTTCCCTATGAGGGGCCCAGACTCAATGGATCCTTATTTTTCTGTTTCTGGATCTTCTCTTGCTCTTAACCAACACCCTCCAATGCATACCCTTCTCTCCCCCTCTTGCATACTCATTATTTTCATATGCACAGCAAGTGTGCTTTCCCCCAGCTCCTGCAAACCAGCACACCTATCCCAAAGTCCTCTGCAAATAAGTTTGTTTCTGTTACAGGGAAGTAGTGAGGAAACATAGTGAGGAACAATATAGTTTGTAAATTAAATATGCATTTATTGGGAAAATTATTTAGCTACTTGGTGCTTCAGTTTCCTTGTGGAAAATTGGAATTATAACAGTAGTGACATCATAGACTTAATGTGATTTAATCATGTAAAGCTCTTAGAACAGTAATTGGCATAGAGAAAGAACTCAACAGATGTTATCTATTATTAAGTAGGAAAGGATTACTAGTGAGAACAAAAGTTCTTGTCAAAGTTGTCACATGTAAAATAGCATTTTAATAACATTGCTCAGCCATCTCTTAAGTTCATAGCAATTAATTCTGTGTGGAAAGACCTATCTAAGTGATCTTTTATGTCTCTTCTGCAAACAGCCAAGTTCAGTAGGAAAAACATGCAAACTGATAGACCTGAATTGGAATCTTGGCTCTGTCAGCTTGTCAGATTATAAACTGTGTAATCTTACACAAATTATGTAAGCCAATCGAGTCTCAATTACCTCATCTATGAATTGGAGTTTTGTAGTTGTCTGTCAATTAGCCTAGGTGAGGTATGCAAGGAAGTCAGCAAAGACAGAGGCAAAGAAAA